AGCACATCACGAGAAATGCTGGGTTGGATGGGTTACAAGCTGGAATCAAGATAGGTGGGAGAAACATCAACAAGCTCAGATACGTGGATGATACGACTCTAATGGCAGAAAGCTAAGAGGAACTAAAGAACCTCTTGATGAGGGTGAAGGAAGAGAGTGAAAAAGCTGACTTAAAACTAAATACTAAAAAAAAAATAAGATCAAGTCACCTGGTCCCATTAATTCATGGCAAATAGAAGGGGAAAATGTGGAAGCAGTGACAATTTTCCTCTTCTAGGGCTCTAAAATCACTATAGATGGTGACTGCAGCCATGAAATCAGAAGATGATTGCTTCTTGGCAGGAAAGTGATGACAAACCTAGAAGTGTGTTGAAAAGCAGAGATATCACTCTGCCGACAAAGGTACATGTAGTCAAGGCTATGATCTTTCCAGTGGTCATATACGGTTGTGAAAGCTGGACCATAAAGAAGGCAGAACACCAAAGAATTGATGCCTTCAAACTATGGTGCTGGAGAAGACTCCTGAGAGTCCCTTGGACAGCAAGGAGATAAAACCAGTTGATTAAAGGAATCAAGCCAGTTGATTAAAGGGAGTCAACCCCGAATATTCATTGAAAGGACTGATGCTGAAGCTGAAGCTCCATTAATTTGGTCACCTGATGCAAACAGCTGACTCATTGAAAAAGTCAGTGATGCTGGGAAAAATTGAGGGCAGAAAGGAAAAGAGGGCATCAGAGGATGAGATGGCTGGATGGCATTCTTGATGTAGTGGACATAAACTTGGGCCAGCTTCGGGAGATGGTAAGGGACAGGAATGCCTGGTATACTGCAATCCATGGGATCATAAAGAGTTAGACACAACTGGATGACTGAACAGCAACAATATCAAATGGATTACTGCCATAGATAGGGCCTCCCTCTCCTCTTTCAGTCCCACCCCCTCAATCCCTATCAATAATGTTCTTTCTTGCTCCACTTAAAATGTCCCCAAAAAAACCACATCTCTTTGTGTCAAACTTTGTGCTAGACTTTGTGATAGGTCATGTGATATTCTGAAAGTGGGTACATGCCTAAGATTATGAAAACTGTACTTTGGTCCTAGTTTAATCAAATATATCTTGGCCTCGGCTTCTGCAACTTGTAAAATGAGGAAGCTGGACTATTGCAGGATGGCAAAAAAATGTTCAGTTGGCAATGACTGCCTAAATCACTGATAAAAAAGTTTTTGAAGTTATGCCCAGACACAAGAGAAGGGTGCAATCATTGATTAGCAATGTCTGTCTTGAATAAGAATAGGGCAGTGACATCATGTGCCATCCAAGGATTAGATGACCCTGAAGATTCATTTCAGCTCCAAACTGCTGAGTATCTAAATTTTCCTTTTCCAGAATTGACCTGTGCTTTGTGTTCTTTGGGGATCCTTCCTCTTTTCTGATTGTCTCTCAGAAACTTTTTAGCACTTTAATCTATGATAAGGCACCAACAGTTGATGAAAACGTTCAACTCACCACTATCACCCTGTGTGAGATGGGTAAGTTGTTTCAATATCTTGTCTCTCAATGACCTGGGTGGGAAAGTCACAAGATGATATCTGAGGTTTCTTCCAACCATCAGTTCAATTCAGTTCAGTCACTCAGTCATGTCTGACTCTTTGTGACTCCATGGACTGCAGCACGCTAGGCCTCCCTGTCCATCACCAACTCCAAGAGTTTACTCAGACTCATGTTCAGCGGCATCAGTGATGCCACCCAACCATCTCATCCTCTGTCATCCCCTTCTCCTCCCACCCTCAATCTTTCCCAGCATCAGGGTCTTTTCAAATGAGTCAGTTCTTCACATCAGGTGGACAAAGTATCAGTTTCAGCTTCAACATCAGTCCTTCCAAAGAGTATTCAGGACTGATCTCCTTTAGGATGGACTGGTTGGATCTCCTTGTCATCCAAGGGACGCTCAAGAGTCTTTTCCAGCACCACAGTTCAAAAGCATCAATTCTTTAGTGCTCAGCTTTCTTTATAGTCCAACTCTCACATTCATACATGACTACTGGAAAAACCACAGCTTTGACTAGATGGACCTTTGTTGGCAAAGTAATGACTCTGCTTCTGAATATGCTGTCTAGGTTGGTCATAACTTTTTTTCCAAGGAGCAAGCGTTTTAATTTTGTGGCTGCAGTCACCATCTGTAGTGACTTTGTAGCCCACCCCCCGCCAAATAAAATCTGTCACTGTTTTCATTGTTTCTCCATCTATTTGCCATGAAGTGATGGGACCAGATGCCATGATCTTAGTTTTCTGAATCTTGTGTTTTAAGCTGACTTTAAGTACCATGATTTGATTATCCTGAAGTGATGATGTCTTGGTACAAAGAAACAAGTGGTTTACAGTGGATCTGTGGGGTTTTTAAAAGGCTGTGATTTCTTTCTCTTTTTTCTTTTTTTCCCCTTCATGGTAGTGAGGAAGATAATGGGCTTCCTCCAGTTCTCAAGTCTAGTTCATATCCCATGGCCTCCCCATGCTCCTGTTCTTGGACCAGGCTGGCCTGGAGCAGTTGCATACATCAAAGGAAACACATCAGCCACAGGCTAAGGGAAATGGCAGGGAGTGCAGTGGACCAGGCAAGGCAACATCTGGGGGGAAAGTACCATTTGAGGAGTCAGGAGACAGGGAAGCTCTGAAGATACAGCACAAAAAGAGTGGGCTCGGGCTCAGAAAGTAGAAGAAGGATGGGGAAAGGGCCTAGGCATGGTTGGGCAAGTGAGCAGAGTTCAGAGCTAGAAAATGGGATGTTTGTGTTCTGGCCCTCTATTGGCAATAATTTTCTGCATAACCTTGGGCAGGAGGATACTTTCCTTTGTGTTTCTGTTTTTGGTTTTTATTTATCTACTTATTCATTTATTTTTGGCTGTGCTGGGTCTTTTTTTTTTTTTTTTTTTGCTGATGCAGGCTTTCTCCAGTTGTGGTGAGCAGAAGCTTCCCTATAGTTATGTTGCACAGGCTTCTCCTGTTGCAGAGCACCAGCTCTAGGGTGCATGGTCTCAGTAGCTGCAGCCTGTGGGCTCTGTAGCTGTGACTCACACGCTCTAGAGTGTGGGCTTAGTTGTCCTGTAGCATGTGGAATCTTCCTGGACCAGTGATTGAACCCAAGTCCCTTGAATTGGCATGTGGATTCCTAAGCACTGACCACTAGGGAAGTCCTATGTATTTGATCTCTGTTTTTTTAGGTATAATAATCAGAAGGAAAAGAGGACAAGTTGATTCCTAAGAGATTTCCAATTCTAATACTCCCCAGGTTTAACCTGAAGTTCCTACAACTATCTGTGCAGACAAGAATATCCTATATTGTCTCTGGAGACACAAGCACCCTCAATGTATAAAGTTATGAAAGTGGGAGAGTTTGTATAAAACAGAATATCCTGGGAGGGTAGGATAGGGGAAGAGGTTTCTGCCTCCCAAACAGAGCACGTTAAAATCTAGAAAGCCTGAGAAGATTTAGGGTGATCCTGTCTGGAACTTCCAAGGATTGTAGTGGGATTTCCAAGGACACAAGCGTCCTGCTTGTCTTATCTCCCTCATTTGAATTGCAACATCAGAGGGACAGAGTTTACTTTCTGGGATCTCAGACTGTTTTTAGTTAGAAGTGACTTTGTTGTTGTTGTTTAGTTGCTAACTTGTGTCTGACTCTGCAGCTGCATAGACTGTAGACTGCCAGGCTCCTCTGTCCAAGGGATTTCCCGAGCAAGAATACTGAAGTGGGTTGCCATTTCCTTCTCCAGGGGATCTCCCCAACCCAGGGATCAAACCCATGTCTCCTGCATTCTTTACCACAGAGCCACCAGGGAAACCCAGAAGTGACTTTGACTTTACAGATCATCTATTCCCAATACTTCACCCCAGGAATGGGAACTCTATCATGACATCCAAAGATGGCTCCCACTCCTGCTTGTATATTGCTTTGCACAATAATTTACACAATGAAGGGAGGAGTTAAGAAATCCTTTCATTTGTCTTACTGTCCTGCCTCATAACCCAGGAAATCTCACTAGACCAAATCAGGGTCTCAAGGTGGTCAGGGTCTCAAGATGGTTCTTCCCACTGGTTCCAGGATGCCAACCTGGAATCCAAAACACCATCCTAAGCTCTCCTTGGGGAAGGAGATGGCTAGAGACATTGCAGGTTAAGAGTCACACAAGAATGAGTTCAAGTCTCACTTATACTGCTTACTAGCTGGGTGACTTTGAACAAGGTAAGCCCCCAAACCCGGCTCTCTGTGCCACTCACCTGAAAGACACCAGGAATAATCCATCCCCCCTGAAGGGACTATGGTGAGGACTTGTCAGGTACGTGAGAGACGACTTGGACACGTGCTCCCCTACATCGACCCCTGCTCTGCAGTGTCTGCACGAGGGTGTGAGCACCCCATGGGGGTAGGAACTGCTTCTTAGTTGATGTTGCTTGCCCCAGGGCTGAGCATAGTGCTGTGTGTGTGTGTGTGTGTGTGTCCCTGGTCACTCAGGTGTGTCTGACTCTTTGTGACGCCATGGACTATAGTGCACCAGCTTCCTTTGTCCATGGGGATTCTCCAGGCAAGAATACTGAAGTGGATTGCTGTGGGATCTTCCTGACCCAGGAATTGAGCTAGGGTCTCCTGCACTGCACTGCAACTGCACTGCAGGTGAATTATTTACCAGCTGAGCTACCAGAGAATCCCGAGCATCGTACTTTGCCTAGTGTAAAAATAAGAGAAAAATAAAATAAAAATGAACTAATAGGTACCTCCAGAATCCAGACCAGAGTTTTGCACTCGGATGTCCCTTAGCAAGACCTCTTCACAAACTAGCTAATCCCTGCTGCCCCCTGTCCTCAGAACAAACACTTGCTCTGTGTACTCAGACAGCCTGAAATGAAAGTTAAAAAAAAAAAAAAACAAAACCAGCTGACTTGTGTTCAGAGAAACTGAAACAGTATTTCCTTCTTGCTGGAAACTGAAAGTTAACTATCAACATGGACGCCAAGGCTCAGAGCAAGAGAATAGCTTTGGATATCAGGGAATGGGAGCAGACATTTCAAGAACTGATCTGTCAGGAGAAACCCTGGGCCAGATGGACCCTGAAGATGGATGGAAGCCTTCGGCCAGACTGTGTGGCCCAGGGGTGGAAGCAATACCAGCAGAAAGGATTTGGCAGGTATGTGAGTCTGTCTAGCTGTGGGCCTTTCTGGGCCAAGAGGCTCAGCTTGGCACTGATGAATTCTTTTGAGGGCTTTTTAAAAAGAATATGTGTCACCAGGCTGCTCATCCTTTTGCAGTTATAGTGTTCTTTAGTAGGGAAATGACATGGTTCTAAGCCTCTATTTTGGCTTAATGGTAGGAAATTTCTTCTTTTACTAGGTTTCTTCCCTAAATATTTTTGGAAATCTCCAGGGGATGAAATAAATCTTCTCCCCTATCCTCTCATCACCATTTATTCCAGACTGCCACTATATAGAGACTTCTGCTATCTTACTTCCCACCTCAGTCCAGACTGGCTTCCACGGGCTGCAGCAGCCCTACAAGCCTAGTCCTGGTCAGTACCAGCCTAGGGCTGGGGCTTTCCTTTATAGTCCCAAGAACTGACTAAGGCCAGACAATGGCTTTGAATATTACTTTACTGATGACCTGAAGAGGGGTTGGTGCTGAAGGAAATTAAAACCTGGTTCTTAATGTCCCTAAACACTGCCCTTCCCTTGTTGACTGTCTTCCTCTTTAACTTCCAGTGAGACTTGAAGTTGCAGAAAGCAGCTTCCTTGCCCATGCAGGAAGGTGAGAAATGCTGACTTGGACAGTCAAGTCTACTTTTTTATATGGCATGCAGGGACCTTCACTTCAACTGTTATATTTCTTCCTGGCCTGCTCCTATCTCACCTCAGATCTCCTCTCTTCCCTTCCTTATGGGTTATTAGCCATGACATACATTTCAAGACTTCTATACCCTTGTCCATGATGTTCTGCCTATTCAGCAGGTCCTTTCCTTCCTGCCTCCCTATTTATTCCTCAAGGAATAATTCAAGTGCCCTGGAATTCCTAGGCAGAGTAAGTGTTCCTTCTTCTCCATTCTCACAAGACAATGAATAGTTCTCTCTCTCTCTCTCTCTCTCTCTCTCTCTCTCTATATATATATATATATATATATATATATAATAGTTTATATAGTTTTTATATATATATAAACTATTGACTTGAGTCTCTCTCTATATATGTTGGTAACATGTTTATAAATAACTTGTTCATATATTACATATTACAGAACACATATATACTTATTTTTTTTTCCATTTATTTTTATTAGTTGGCGGCTAATTACTTTACATCATTGCAGTGGTTTTTGTCATACATTGAAATGAATTAGCCATGGATTTACATGTATTCCCCATCCCGGCCCCCCCTCCCACCTCCCTCTCCACCCGATCCCTCTGGGTCTTCCCAGTGCACCAGGCCCGAGCACTTGTCTCATGCACCCAACCTGGGCTGGTGATCTGTTTCACCCTAGATAATATACGTGTTTCGATGCTGTTCTCTTGAAACATCCCACCCTCGCCTTCTCCCAGAGTCCACAAGTCTGTTCTATACATCGGAGTCTCTTTTTCTGTTTTGCATATAGGGTTATCGTTACCATCTTTCTAAATTCCATATATATGTGTTAGTATACTGTAATGGTCTTTATCTTTCTGGCTTACTTCGCTCTGTATAATGGGCTCCAGTTTCATCCATCTCATTAGAACTGATTCAAATGAATTCTTTTTAATGGCTGAGTAATATTCCATGGTGTATATGTACCACAGCTTCCTCATCCATTCGTCTGCTGATGGGCATCTAGATTACTTCCATGTCCTGGCTATTATAAACAGTGCTGCGATGAACATTGGGGTGCACGTGTCTCTTTCAGATCTGGTTTCCTCGGTGTGTATGCCCAGAAGTGGGATTGCTGGGTCATATGGCAGTTCTATTTCCAGTTTTTTAAGAAATCTCCACACTGTTTTCCATAGTGGCTGTACTAATTTGCATTCCCACCAACAGTGTAAGAGGGTTCCCTTTTCTCCACACCCTCTCCAGCATTTATTGCTTGTAGACTTTTGGATAGCAGCCATCCTGACTGGTGTGTAATGGTACCTCATTGTGGTTTTGATTTGCATTTCTCTGATAATGAGTGATGTTGAGCATCTTTTCATGTGTTTGTTAGCCATCTGTATGTCTTCCTTGGAGAAATGTCTGTTCAGTTCTTTGGCCCATTTTTTGATTGGGTCATTTATTTTTCTGGAGTTGAGCTGGAGGAGTTGCTTGTATATTTTTGAGATTAATCCTTTGTCTGTTGCTTCGTTTGCTATTATTTTCTCCCAATCTGAGGGCTGTCTTTTCACCTTGCTTATAGTTTCCTTTGTTGTGCAAAAGCTTTTAAGTTTCATTAGGTCCCATTTGTTTATTTTTGCTTTTATTTCTAAAATTCTGGGATGTGGGTCATAGAGGATCCTGCTGTGATTTATGTCGGAGAGTGTTTTGCCTATGTTCTCCTCTAGGAGTTTTATAGTTTCTGGTCTTACATTTAGATCTTTAATCCATTTTGAGTTTATTTTTGTGTATGGTGTTAGAAAGTGTTCTAGTTTCATTCTTTTACAGGTGGTTGACCAGTTTTCCCAGCACCACTTGTTAAAGAGGTTGTCTTTTTTCCATTGTATATCCTTGCCTCCTTTGTCAAAGATAAGGTGACCATAGGTTCGTGGATTTATCTCTGGGCTTTCTATTCTGTTCCATTGATCTATATTTCTGTCTTTGTGCCAGTACCATACTGTCTTGATGACTGTGGCTGGAGTATGACTTGTGATTGGAGGAATCAATCTGCCTGACTTCAGAACACATATATACTTATATATAATTATTTTTATCTGTAGAACCTATTGTTATAAAAGCCTTCTGGGGCTGTACAGAACCCAGATTTCAGGCCATTGGCTAGAGCCCATGTGGCAGTTATTCTGCTCTGCTTGGAACCCAGTGTACCATGTAAGAGTCTCTCTTTGCACCAGTCAGAGCTCTTTGAGGGACTCATGATGTCTTTAATCAGTTTGGCACTCTCCCAAATGAACAGGTGCTTCTCTTGTTCAGATGAATTGACCTGATAGTCATTCCAAGATGGAAAAAGCAACCTACCAACATAGTTTTAGAAGAATATTAACCAGTTTTTGAAAAATACTTTGTAGTTTACAAGATGCTTTCACATATTCTCATTTAATGCTGACAATCTAACTCTTGAATATTTTTCCTTTTATGAATGTGAAAAATAAAGCTTAGCGACGTGCTTTTTAAAAAAGTTCCCCTAATGTAAGCTATGGGCTTCCCAGATGGCTCAGTGGTAACAAAGCTCCTGCCAAGCAAGAGGTGCAGATTTGACCCTTGGGTTGGGAAGATCCCCTGCAGAAGGAAATGGCACCCCACTCATGTTCTTGCCTGGGAAATCCCATGGACAGAGGAGCCTGGTGGGCTACAGTCCATGGGATTGCAAAAGTAAGACATGACTTAGCAACTAAATAACAACAACAATGTAAATTACTGACTTGAGTCTCCAACTCAAGTATTGTGGTTCCAGGTCCTAAGTGAGGTACGAAACAAACCCCATTGCTCAGTAGAGGCGATGTGGCATAGTAGACAGATCACGGCTTGCGATTGGAAACATGGCTCTACCATCTAACTTTGAGAGTTCCTTAGGCAAGTTGTGTATCATTTTACTATTCAGTTTCCTTATCTGGATATTGGGATCAATAATGCCTACCCAAGAGGGATGTTTTAAAGATGAAATGGGATAATACTGTAAAACATTGCTTCAGAATAGGCACTCTGTAAGAGTTCTCTGTGACCTTGTGAAGACCAAATTTCACTGGCAAATGGCAGAAATGTTTTTCTCTCTGTGACATTCAGAGATGTTTTACTGGCAAAGAGGCAGACTTGGGACCACATCTGGGTGGGAGTTCAGTGAGCCACAGGAAGAAGCTTTATTAGAAACACAGTCCCTTTCATTCTTGTCAAATTGTCAATATCACATGCACTTTTTCAAGTTGAAAGGGTTCTCAGAGACCAGGCCAGGCCCATTTCCCTCAGGTTGGCAACAGCTGAGTGTACAATGATCTTCTGTCTGCCTGCAGGTTCTCGTGTTCCTCATGTCGTCGAGGCTGGGCTTCTGCCCAAGTGAAGATCCTATGTCACATGTACCTGGAGAACCAGAAATCCCCAGGCAAGGTGCTCATGCGGATCTTTGGACAGAGGTGCAAGAAGTGCTCCCGGTCTCAGTTTGAGAAGCCTGATTTCTCCCTGGAAAGCAGAAATAGGATTCTGCAAAACCTGGTGCAGCGTGTTCTGGAGAAATTCTACAGAAATGGTTTCAGGAAGGTTTCGGAGTTACCCGTGATCCCAGAAGTACCTTTGAAGGGGTCCCACGACACGGCCAATTGTGAAGCATGCGTCCTGGGCTACTGTGTACTGAACTCAGAAAACGGCATGACAGGGCCAGAAAGATCCTCTGTCTCCTACATGGAGACTGGGAGTTCCTCTCCTCACAATGGTAACGAGTGTGGCCAAAACCCATCTAGGAACCACTTAGCAGTGGGGAGTGGGTATTCTGGCACCCATATAGGCTCAGGGCCCAGCCATGCCACTGCTGGGATCCAAGTGCCTGGGAAAGGCCCTCAGCCTAAACGGGAGATGGGCCAGCTGTTCACACCAGGGGCAGATCGACAGGCTGCACGGGCAACCGGCCCACAGCCCATCCGAGTAGCAGGATCACTTCCCCCAGGGTGGACAGATCCACGGCCCATTCAAGCAGTAGGCCCACTACCTACAGGGCGTGCATATTCACAGTCTACACAGGGGAGAGGACCACAGGCCCCCCGGATGACGTACTCTCAGGCTATAAAGAAGTCAGGCCAGCAGTCAACACACAAGGCACAAGCCACAAAAGGGGCACAGCTTCAGGCCACAAAGGTGACAGAACCACAGCCCACCAGAGCGACAATCCCAAGGGCCACATCAGGATCAGACAGCCAGGCTAAAGGGATGACAGGCCCCCCACCACAGAGGTCAAGCTCACAGTCTACACTGGAGGCAATCCCGAAGCCTACATTGGGGTCAGACAGTCAGGCTAAAGGGATGACAGGCCCCCCACCACAGAGGTCAAGCTCACAGCCTGCATGGGAGGCAATCCCGAAGGCCACAGTAGGGTCAGACAGTCAGGCTAAAGGGATGGCAGGCCCCCCACCACAGAGGTCAAGCTCACAGTCTACACGGGAGGCAATCCCGAAGGCCACATCGGGGTCAGACAGTCAGGCTAAAGGGATGACAGGCCCCCCACCACAGAGGTCAAGCTCACAGCCCACACAGGAGGCAATCCCGAAGGTCACAGTAGGGTCAGACTGTCAGGCTAAAGGGATGGCAGGCCTCACACCACAGAGGTCAAGCTCACAGCCTGCATGGGAGAGAATCCCAAAGGCCACAGTAGGGTCAGACACTAAGGCTACAAGGAGGGCAGGCCTCCCACTGGGGTCAAGCTCACAGCCCACACGGCCACATGTAGGACCTTCATGTGGAAGTCAAGCTGCCTGGGGCAGGGAGGAGAGGTACTCACCTGGAGCGTCTGTATCAGACAGCTTTTTCAGATTACCTCCTTCAAATGATCTCCGTAACCAGGAGCAGCTGTTCAGGTGGGGCTATGTCTGTATTTTTGCTCTGTTTACCTTTCTGGTGTCTAAATACTTATGAGTAGAATGATGGGGAAAAAAAAAAGAGCTGTCTTCTCTTAATTCCATGATAGTCAATGAACTGGCTGCCATTTTAATATGACAAAATTTGCTCTGGGATCAACAGGGTCAAGTTTAGAGAATAACCAAGGGATCCTGGACCTCCTCTGCAGGTAGTTTAAAACATGACCCAGGGAATGCAAATTGATTAAGCTACTATAAAGAATGCTATGGAGATTCCTTTTAGAAAACTAAGAATAAAGCCATCATATGACCTGGTAATCCCACTACTGGGCATATACCCTTAGGAAACCATAATTGAAAAACACACTTGTACCCCAATGTTCATTGCAGCATTATTTACAATAACTAGGACATGGAAGCAACCTAGATGTCCATTGACAGATGAATGGACAAAGAAATTGTGGTACATATACACATTAGCTACAGAAAGGAATGCATTTGAATCAGTTCTAATGAGGTGGATGAATCTAGAGCCTATTATACAGAGTGAAGTAAGTCAGAAAGACAAATACTGTGTATTAACACATATATACAGTATACATGGAATCTAGAAAGATGGTACTGATGATCCTATTTGAAGGGCAGCAAAAGAGACGCAGCCATCAAGAACAGACTTAGGGTCACAGTGGGGGAGGGAGAGGGTGGGATAACTTAAGAGAGTAGAGCTGAAACACATACATCACCATATGTAGAACAGACAGTCAGTGGGAATTTGCTGTATGGTACAGGGAACCCAAACCAGGTGCTCTGTGACAACCTAGAGGGATAGGATGGGGGGGGGGGTGGAGGTGGGAGGGAGTTTTAAGAGGGAGGGGACATATGTATACCTATGGCTGATTCATGTTTATGTATGGCAGAAATCATCACACTATTGTAATTATCCTCCAATTAAAAAAAATGACCTCACAGTTAATGGAACCAATAATATTTGTTAAACCATTAAAAGATTTTTGCTGGTGCATTCACTCATTCATTGATATCAATATATATAGACCATATCTTGACTAGAACTGAGGGTCCTGAGTTTCATCAGAATTATTGTAGTATGTTGAAAAATGGTTCCCCCCAAATGTCGATATCCTAATCTCCAGAACCTGTAATATGTCACTTTACAAGGCTAAAGGGACTTTCCAGTTGTGATTAATTTTAAGGATCTTGAGATGAGGAGATTATTCTGTATTATCCAGATGGGCCAAATGTAATCACATGGGTCCTAATAGGAGGGAGGCAAGAGGGTCAAGGGGCTTCCCAAGTGGCACTAGTGGTAAAGAACCCACCTGCCAATGCAGGAGACAGAAGAGATGCAGGCTCGATTCCTTTTGTCAGGAAGATCTCCTGAAGGAGGGCATGGCAACCCACTCCGATATTCTTGCCTGGAGAATCCCATGGACAGAGGAGTCTGGTGGGATGTGGTCCATAGTGTCGCAAAGGGTTGGACACAACTAAAGTGACTTAGCAGGTAGTACGCATGCACAAGTAGGTCAAAGTCAGGAAAAGGAAATGTAACTGTAGAACTAGAGATTGAACTGTTGTGTTCTAAAGGTGGAGAAAGAGGTCACGAGCCAAGAAATGCATGCAGCCTTTAAAAGCTCATAAAGGCAAAGAAATACATTTTCCTCTGGAATGTCCAGAAGGAGCCAGCTCAGCTGACATGTGACTTTAGTTAAGTGAGACTGATTTTAGACTTTGAGCCTCCAAAACCGTAAGATAGTAAATTTGTGCTGTTTTTGACACACTAAAATCATGGCAATTTGTTTTAGCAGCAACAGGAAGTTGACATCACTGCAGGGATCAGGCAATTATGTTTTAGAATGCTTTAGCTTTAACAACAACATCAAAGATCATAGATTAGAAATATTGACATGCCTATCCCCTCTTGTTCTTTTTTTCTCCTACTTAAACTAACTCAAATATTCCCACCCCATCCCATAGAGATTTTCTCAAGAGTCATCAAATCAAAAGTTTAGAATGGAGATATTTGGGTGGGCTTAAGCAGTCTGGCAACCCCCAAGGAGGCTACCTATCCTTCTTGCCTTGGATTGGAAGCATGTAAGAACTTGCCAATCCTGTGATCTTGTGATGCATAACTGCGTCTTTCTTTCTCTTTTTCCATCTCTGTGTTAGGCATTTTACATGGCTCTCACACTGCCATCTCTACATTCCCACTTTCAAAATCAAGCTCATCAGCATCTCTGGTTTTCTTGTTCTAATTTGCCTCAGTCACTCAAGCTTATCACCTGAGAATCATCTTTAACTTCTCCTCCCTGTCACCAATGCTTATTATCCCTTCTTTTGTCAAGTTACTCCCATCTCTTCCACTATGTTTCCCTATCAACCCCTCTCCTCAACCAGGTCAGGGACTTGGATTATTGAGTTACTGAGGGGATTTGGATTTTACCTCATAGGCAGTGGGGAGTCATTGCAAACATTTGAGAATATGGGCAATTTGAGTAGAATAACATTTTTAAAATATTATATCTTTCTGGAAAAGAATGGAATAGAGGATAGAAACAGTGAGGAGTCTGCCTTGAAATAAGAGAGTGGTAAACACAGAGGCTTCCCTGTTGGCTCCGTGGTAAAGAATCCTTCTGCCAATGCAGGAGTCACAGGAGATGTGAGTTCCATCTCTGGGTCAGGAAGATCCCCTGGAGGAGGAAATGGCAACCCATTCCAATATTCTGGCCTGGGAAATCCCATAGACAGAGGAGCCTGGTAGGCTACAGTCCATGGGGATCACAAAAGAAGACTTATCGACTAAACAACACAACAACACAAACACAGGGAGGGTTCTTGTAGATAATAAACATCTTGAAGGAATTTGAAGACAATAACTGCAAGATGGCAGAAAACCCAAGGCTGAAAGCACTTCTTTTGTTTTTTTTCTGGCCATCTCATTTCACTTCCTCTTACGCCACTTCTATAAGCACTCTGCTTTTATATATGCCCCCATCTTCAAGCCGCTTTACTGAATGTCTGCATTTCTCCTGTTTTCATACCTTTTTGTTTCTTTCATAGTGAACATACACATGAGGATGAGACTTTATTTCTAGCCTGGTTATGTTATATGACCTGTTGCAAGTCATTATCCCTCCCTGAGCCTCAGTACTTCCATCTATAAAATAAATTAATGGCTCCTAATTAAACATGGAGGGTCGAACACAGGCATTTCCTTCTGATCCCTCTTGAAATCCCACTGTGTGGTAGTGAAATGGGGAAACAAGGCATCAGTTCACAGGGGTAAAGAGAATGGGTGGAAACTCCAACCTGATAGATTACTGATGTGTAACTGACTTAACAGAGCAGAGATCTGTAATAGAAGTTAGGCAAAGGAAAACTGAGGTGCAAGGCAAAAAAGTGTGGCATAGTTTCAGAAAGGCTCAAAAACTGTAGGCAATAAGTAGCTCTGAAGGTGGATATTAGGAAGTCTGAAGTGGGAGGATTGGCTAAAAGCCTTTATAAAAAGTTCCTTTTCTCCACTCCAATGCAGCCTTGTAACCACTCTTAACACACTCCAGAGTGAAGAATGGAGGTTTGTTCTCTGAAGACACTGACCCAGAGGGACTTGAGGCTTAGGAACTTGGGCATAGTTAAGGGAGGGAGTACTGAGAGGCAATCAGAAAGATAGTGAAATTCTGCATACTGAGTATAGGCACTCCCTTAGCTCACTAAATAACAAGGCGAGCAATTAATTCTGTATGCAAGGAATATAGGACATACTTTTGGCTAAGGAAAGGTATGAGATACGGATATATATTTTTGTTAATGGAAAAGAAAATAAATTTTTCTTAAAGTAAAACTGATTATTTCAGAACGGAAAGAAAGGAAAACAGAGAAATGGAGGACAAAGTATGGACATATCTGTATCTACAGAGAGAGAGGGAGCCTGAATATGAGCACAGGAAATTTTACCTTGTCTTTCATCAAAGTAAAATTAAACAGTTTTTAAAAATAAGCCTTAATAATGATAGTATATTTATGTAAAACTAAAACTTGATTTTTTTCCATCTACTTAAAGGACAAAGTTTTACTGGTCTGTTTCACTTTTCTCTGAAGAGGTTGTGAAAGATTTTTCTTTACCTATTAAATAACCTGCCTATAAAACAGAAGTTCTATGCTTTGTCAAAATAATTTCCTGTGATTTGTCATCTTAATCAAGACTTTGATAACTTAAGAAAACTGAATCTTCTCAATATTAAAAGAGTGAAGTTTTGTTAACAACTATGTAACCATCTGTATTAGCCTTTGAAACACTTTATTGTCACTTTATCAAATAGAAAGTTTAGTATTGTTTATTAACGGTTTGTGATCTTATTTAGTTAAGTGTCTGAAGCTTTTGATATTTTTGACAAACGTCCCCAAATTAAATTCTAAATCAAGTCTTTTTGAACTTGAACTAATTTTAGGACTTCTCACAGGGCCCCTGGAACATCTCAAAAGATTTGTTCTCTCTCCTATTTCTTTTTTTAATTGAAGTATTATTGTTTTAGAATGTTATGTTATTTTCTGGTGTATATCAAGGTGATTTAGTTATATATACTTTTTCATATTCTTTTCCATTGTAGTTTATTATAAGCCATTGAATATAATTCCCTGTGCATAACAGTAGGACCTTGTTCTTTATTTTGGATATAGTACTTTGTATCTGCTAATCCTAAATTTATAATTTATCCCTCCCCTACCCCATCTCCTCTTTAGTAACCATAAATTTTCTTTCTACATCTGTGAGTCTGTTTCCGTTTTGTATACAAATTCATTTATATTATTTTTTAGATTCCACATACAAGTGCTATCATATGATAGTTGTTCTCTCTCTTTACAGAGAGATGCTGAATTAATTAAGTTTGTTTGATATGTTGGATTACATGAGAAGCATTGGCAATTAAATGATACTAAATCTTCTTAGATTATATTCATGTGGCCACACATTATTTATGTTCCAGAAATTATATAAAGTCTGATGCATCTTGGTATGTTATCATTTTTAATTCTAATTATTAT